TCAAATCGTGACAAATCTGTTGACAAACAATTGATTTGACGTCTGAATGCAGTTATCATTGAATATAACTCTTCGCGACTTAATTGCAATAAATCGCCGAAAGGTTCACTCATTTTGTGCTATAATTTACACTCAATTTACTGATTATTAATCATAATATCACTAAAACTGTTGAGTCAAACATAATGTCTATGCAATCAATACAAGTGTTTTGTTGACACCTTTTGCCCACAAATAATGTTTTGACAAAACTTTATATTTTATAAGTTTTCTAAACTTTTCTTAATTTTTTATTTAATACTAATTATGTTTCTAACATTTAATACATTCAAAACACTTGTTAACATTTATATAGCCTATGATCACTATAATTATAATTAAAAATTTAATATATGTATTATAAACAATTTCATAATAAATTTATTTTCTAATTGATTTCCAATAGAAATATTGTCTACTTTATGATAGATTTTCAATTCAGTTACTCTACTATTGCAACCAATCCTTATCACAAGTAATTCAAAACCATTTGTCAAACACTCAAACATATTGTTATCAAAACTCAAAAACATTTTGAGTTTATATTTGCATTCATTTCACAAATTATGAATCGATTCGCACAGGTATTCAAGTGCTGTCAACACCACCGGATGGCAATCATAGGTATGGTTCACGTGCGGGCACTACCTATGAGTCCAATGAACACACTATCTGTGGATCAGTTGATTGAGATCTCATGCCATGAGACAGAAGTGTACAAAAAGCACGGATTGGACGGCATTTGTGTGGAAAACATGTTTGACAGGCCATACGTCAGATCCCAACACTCGGGGCCCGAAGTGACGGCTTGTATGACCAGAATCTGCGCTGAAGTCAAGCGTAGCGCCGGTAGTATACCGGTTGGGGTACAGGTATTAGCCGGACTAAATCGGGAGGCACTGGCCGTATGCCTGGCCTCTGGACTACAGTTCATACGGTGCGAGTCCTATGTGTTCGGACACATCGCCGACGAGGGATATATGGATGGGTGCGCCGGCCCTCTCGCCCGCTATCGCAACCAATTGAACGCTAATAATGTGCTAATCCTGACGGACATCAAGAAGAAGCACAGCTCCCACGCCATCACCGCTGATGTCGATGTCTTGGAGACGGCAAAAGCGGCTGAATTTTTCCTATCGGACGGTGTGATTGTCACCGGTAGCCGAACTGGAGATTTACCAGATGTGGGGGTTGTGGACAGTATTAAGAAGTCTGGGGTTAGACTTCCGGTGATTATTGGCTCCGGTGTTAGTGATGTGAATGTGAAGAGTTGTGTGGATGTGAAGACCGATGCAGTGATAATCGGTTC